TAAACCACAAGCATTGCCGAAACAGCCACGAGAAGATAGGCGGCTTGAAAACGAAGTAGAGAGCCAACATTATTACGTAGATTTACTAGAAGTAGCGCTTGTGGTAATGTCCGGCAGGGCACAGCAAAAGAGCCACATTGAGGCTTTACCGCTGAGGTGGGATACGTAGAGACAATCACTACCCTGGTCTTCCGCACCTAAAGACAACGGAGTTTCTCACAACAACGTTGAATTCAGTTGTAAAACGATATAAAGTTAATGGGTGCTTTGGATGTACTGGGCGCAAAAATTTCGAAAGACTACTATTTCGAGTCAGAGTGGCACATGCATGCATGCTTTCTGGACAGATGTCACCACCGTAGAAATAATTATCAAGCTCTTACGAACCAAACGTCATTAGTCATTGTACGATATTTAGTTGAGAAGCAAGAGTGCTGAAATAATCGAGTATATTCCTGTGCAGTATCTGAAATTTGGCACAAATCCATATCGTGTTACTCATATGGAATCTCCCTTGAAAACTAGAATCGACATAAATGTCTTGTTTGTCATAGTTCTTCGGAAGTGCACAGTGCTCTTGGAAGTGCTCTTGCCCCGGCCTTCATAAGTAAGCTGATTTCTGTTAGAGACATCGGAAGATATGATTTCCATTCCAAGGACGGCTTACTCCTTGCTCCTTGCAGGGGAAAAACACTCTCCACGCTCGGCGATCGATCTTTCCATGCCGCCGCCCCTAAATTGTGGAACGATCTTCCGGGCTCTATCAGAAACACCCAATCTTTAAACAAGTTTAAGAAGGCCACTAAGACTTTTATTTGCCAAAGCTTTTTAACTCTTTGTATCTAATTTCATATTTTTACATTTTCTTAGTGATCATTTTTATTGATTTATTTATCTATATTTAAATATTAATATATATATATATATATATATATTTATATTTATTTTATTATCATTATTATTTTTTATTTTTAGTTTTAGTATCTATGTAGGGGTTGAATTTTTAACATTTAATTGTAATGCACAATTGAAAATTCTTATATTGATAATTGTGCAATAAAGGTCTATCAATTTTTTATTTATCTAACTGTAATGAAAGCTATAACAAAAAAACGAATTGTACACCATTTTCCCGAGAGCTGTCGGCTTCTTTCTTTGAGTAAACACAAGGTAAACGGCAGCACAGAAACCGAGAAAAAGTTTCATCGGAATCGAGCCAAACACGATATTATATATTATATTTTATTAGCCTCAAAGAGAACACGTATTGCATTGATATCTTGTATCTTATCTTTAAGATGATCAAGGAATTTTCAGTCTGTTTACAAAACATTACGTAATTGGAAGGGAAAATCCCTACGGTTAACAATGAGGAATAACTTAGCCAACAAAAATTAAACTTACCTCGGCAGGAGTAAATTAAATAATATACGTTGGTTAACCCAGGAAAGCTCTTTAACGGAACATTACTTATTTTCCAAGTAGATTCCAATTACGTCGTCATCTCACCAGACGGTTTTTATTTTTCATTATCCTGATGAAATGCTAATCGTCATTGCTAAAGGCAACAAAACAGGGTCGAAATAGATCTGCCTGTTTTCAGTCTCGTAAAAGTTGAGAAACTTGGCACTTGTAGCAGCGTTTTGCAGTTAGACAGATCAATATCAAAGTAGCATACTCGACATAAATGATGGAAGACGGTTGAAAATGGACAAATGGGAGATT